GGGAAATATCAGAATTCAGCTTGTTACGCCCTGTTGAGGTTCTGACTTGGGAATATCAGCTTGTCTCAAATTCTCTACAGGATATGTAAAAGGGACCCTCAGTTCCCAGACAATTGCTCAGGCTGACAATATGCCCAGTACAAGACCAGCTTTATTTTATCTGAAAGAAAACACGTCACANGGGAAATATCAGAATTCAGCTTGTTACGCCCTGTTGAGGTTCTGACTTGGGAATATCAGCTAGTCTCAAATTCTCTACAGGATATGTAAAAGGGACCCTCAGTTCCCAGACAATTGCTGAGGCTGACAATATGCCCAGTACAAGACCAGCTTTATTTTATCTGAAAGAAAACACGTCACGCAAAAGACTCACACCCAAACCCATGAACAGATACAATAACTCTCCTTCCCTCACTTGTAGGCTTGCATCTTCTCAAGGGAATTATACTTTCCTCTTGACTCGGTATTACTTTAAATAAACTCCCTGGAAAAGGGATGGTACCAGAGAGTTGATTACTTTTTCCCCAATGTGTTCACATAACTCTCAGGAGCAGAAAAGAACAAGAGTCAGGTTCATTCCTGTGCATCATGGGCTCTGTCTCTTGTTTCTCTTTAACTCGAAACTGCTGCTTGGTTCCAGTTTTCTCTTTGGTCTTGAAACTAGGCATTATCCAGTAATTACTATGAAATTTCCCTATGATACAAATCTTGGAGGCATAGCTAATGCACAAAAGAGCTCAACTTGGCTAATTACTTTCCATCTCTGAACCTCAGCTTCTCCACCTATAAAACAAGGTTGGACTAGATAAGTCCCTAAGGCCTTTCCCGTACTAACATCTATCACCCAGAGCTGAACAAAATATTCTCAGATATGATCAAGCCATTGGATGGTACTTCTTACATCAACATAATAAAAAGCAAGGGGGACATTGAGAGACCAAGGAATGGAATGGTTCTTTAGGCTCTCTTGATGTACCTGCTGAAGAACATCTCAAATAGACTGATTTCAAGCGTAGCATTGTAAAAAGACTGTAAGATTTGGGTTCTAGTGCTTGATCTATTATTAATTAGACATGTTAAGACAGAGAGATCTCAAGGCTAGGAACACTGGGCCAACTCTAATAATGTGAAATTTAATAGGGATAATTTTAAAGTGCTACACCTGTATTTCAAAAAATTGACTTCACAAGTGCAAGACAGGGATAAGAATGAATGACTCCATGACAATTTGTCTTAAAAAAAATCCAAAGGTTTTAGTGGATTTGCAGGTTTGATGCAAAACAAGGCTATGATCTGGCAACTGAAAAAGATAATGCAATCTTGCATTGCATCATAAGAGACATGACTTCTAGGATAAGGAGATCATTCCGTTGTACTCTGCCTAGTCAGGCTATACCCAGAGGACTGTGTTTGGCTCTGGATGCCACAGTTTAAGAAGGAAATTAATCAACTGGAGAGCATCCAAAGGAGGTTCAACCAAGATGGTGAAGGGCCTTGAGATCATGCCATTCAAAGATCAAATGAAGGGGACATTCACCCTGGTGAAAAGAAGATTCAGGAGGGACATGAGAGACGTGTCTGAGTATTTGAAGGGCTGTCCCATGAAAGAGGGATTAGATTTGTTCAGTGTGTTCCCAGAGGGAAGAACTAGCGGCAACAGGTGGAAATTATAAAGAGGTAAATGGGCTTCACGTGAGGAAAAATAATCATTCTTAATGATTAATGAAATACTAATTCTTAATAATCAGAACTATCCCGAAGTAGGACAGGCTGCCTCAGGAGGTGCCTCAGGAGACCCTCAATAGGGGCCTTTTAGCAAAGAATGGATAATGATTTATTTGTTGCTGTATTTTTCAGGTATGGATTGGACTCTTCCAACACTAAAATCTGGCGACTCGTCCTCTTCTCTCCAGGAGAGCACCTACTACGTGCCTGCTATCTGTGAATTCCTTCTCAGGGTCCACAGGACCAATATTTCAGTAGTGTCTGCCTTTAGTAGTTTCAATACTGGACCACAAACAAGAACTTCCAGGAAAAGTCCTTTTCTTTTCTGTTAACTACAAAACAAACTGATAACTTGTCTAAGAAAGATTCCTGACCCCTCCTTTCAGGTGCAGTATCAGCCTCTTGAGTGGCACTGAAAGACAATGAAAGACCAAAGGATGTCAGGATTCTTTAGGCTGCTGTGACTTACCTGCTACAGAATATGGAAATTGGGTTGACTTCCCTTTCTCTGAGCAGAACTTCCGGGAGCAGTACAAACATGGGGTTACAGAAAAAACAGTGGACTCAAAGACCTAGGTTCTAGTTCCTGCTCTATCATTAACTCGCCATGTGACCTTGGGCAGCTTACTTTCCCACGATGAGCCTCTTTCCTCATCTGAAATTTGAGAGTGTTATACCAGTAATGTCCAAGGACTTTTTCACTTATAACATTATATGATTCTGTGATCATAAATTTACAGCTAGAAGACACCTTAGAGGTCCAACCACTTCATTTTATAGATAAAGAAATTGAGGCCAAAGGGTGTTGGCCAAGGGCCCATGGGTAATAAGTTAACATCATACAGTTGGGATAATTGGGCACAGAGGCCAACTAGTCCAACCTCCGCCTTTTACAGATAAAGAAACTGAAACCCAAAGTCAAGTGAGGCCATAGTACCACAGTAATAAGTAACAGAGCCAGAATTTGAACCAAGTTCACCTGATTATAAATCTAGCATTCTTTCCACTTCACCGCACTGTTACCTTGATATAGTAAAGTAATATACTAAAGTCAGTATCAGTTGGTATCAGTCTGTGGGGCTCTCTAGTAGAGAGGTTTTCCCATATTTCTGGCTAAAGGCTCAAGGTAAATCTGTACTCTTCACTTCATAGGTCTCTGGCGCCAGGACTACATTTAGGAAGTTGTGCTATTTAAGATTTAAGTATTTTAAAAATATATTGCCTCTCACCAAAAGTGAACCAAGTCAACCTGAAGGAATTTCCCGGGATCGTGTTTGACATTTAGCAATCCATTCTCATCCATTATTAACGAATAGTAA